GCCCCCACGGCGAGCATGTTTGGTGGGATGGGGAATCAGATTAAGAGTCAAGCGCCCTAACCACCTAGCCATGCCGGGCCCCGAAATTTATTTAACTGCACCTTTATATATTCGGATCTACCGTATAAATAGTGTATACTGAGACTTACATGAGTTATAACTACGAAGTTTTGTTTCACTAACTTAGATAACACTAAAAACGCTTTTATGTTGTAGCCTACAAGATGTTTTTAAGAGCTTTTATTCAAAAACTTATAATCCTTGTTTATAGTCAGGTTAATATGTATTTTTAAAATAATAACTTGAGCCACTAATCCGAATGTTGGGGGGCGTTGAAAACATTATATTTAAATAACGAATGAAAGTATCTGACAAAATTTGACATTAAATTATTAAAGAATGCATAAATTTAAAGAGACAACGAAATGTCCTACATTTAAAATGTACATGTTTTAAAAACACCAACTTAAACATCAACGATAATTAAGAATCAAAATCACTTTTCTGTTTCGTTAACAGTATTCGATATATTAATGGAGTGTTCTAATCAAGCCAAAGGACTATTCTCTCGTATATGAACAACATAAAACAAGTTAAAATCAGTAACCTAATTCAAAAATAAAGATACCATAAAAAACATAGACGAACAAATACAAGAGGTAGCTAATGCATCTGAAGTTGTACTTTTTTCATATCTTCTTTTTGTCCACGATTCTATTACAAAGCGTTGCCCGTTCCACACTATTCGAGTTTTCGTGATGGGAATCAAACCATCTGCTTCCATCCAAGACTATTCCTTTTTTTTGGTACGTGATGTGATTTCAGATCTCTAGTGACAAAGCAGCTTTAGAGATACTAGTTTAACTATGTAATTTGTAAAGTTTAGGGTAAATGTATGAGGATAGAAGAAACGATTTTTAGATGATTGAGCGAGAATCAGAAGCTGAGTAAATGGAAAGACGGATAGCCCATAATAAATTATTATAATATTAACAACGACTATATGGTTAGGGCATTCGACTCGCAATCTGCGGGTCGCGGGTTCGAATCCGCGTCACACCAAACATGCTCGCCCTTTCAGCCGTAGGGGCGTTATAATGTGACGGTCAATCCCACTATTCGTTGGTAAAAGAGTAGCCCAAGAGTTGGCGGTGGGTGGTGATGACTAGCTGCCTTTCCTCTAGTCTTACACTGCTAAATTAGGGACGGCTAGCGCAGATAGTCCTCGTGTAGCTTTGCGCAAAATTCAAAACAAATATATGGAATGATAAAAATAAATAGTGGATAAAAGAAACAGAGCTCTACAACTTAAGGTATTGGACAATGGAGAGGTAATTGTAATTACCTAACAAGATTAAAATAATTGTATGATTCAAAATCTAGATGGAAGAGAAAATACACGAAAAATATAGTTCTTTAATTATGTAATTGGTGAAGAAATATGGATGTCAGATCGACAAAGAGAGCCAACAATATTTACTACCTAAGCAGAAAATTAAAAAAAATAAACTCGAAAATTTTGATACACACACACACACATATATATATGATACACAAAATGTAACGAACGGTTGGATACCACTATATAATTTCGTTATTATTCCTCCAACAATATAAGATGTTTGATTAATTACATTAATTAACATTGCTAGTTACAGTTCATACATTTTTCTCTTGGAATCCACTGAATATTGATTAAACGGTTAAACAATTAGGGGTGCGAAAAATTTGCAATATTATAAACTAAAAGTTATGGTTTCAAAATCACCTCTATCCGCTACAAGTAAGATCATGTCCGAGTTAAAATCTTATTTTCAAATGCTTATGTATTTTCAGTATTGTACTCTTGATTAAGTGTTATTAGTGTAGTTTCTCTACTGCTTCCAGCTTTATGGAGCAGTATTTCACTTGCAGTCCCCGCCAGATAATTTGTTTGTTTGATTTGAATTTCGCGCAAAGCTACACGAGGGCTATCTGCGCTAGCCGTCTCTAAGACTAGAGGGAAGGCAGCTAGTCATCACCACCCACCGCCAACTCTTGGCCTACTCTTTTACCAACGAATAGTGGGATTGACCGTCACATTATAACGCCCCCACGGCTGAAAGGGCGAGCATGTTTGGTGGGACGGAGATTCGAACCCGAGCGCCCTAACCAACTGGCCATGCCGGGCCGTCCGTCAGATAATAATACATAACAAAATGATATGAACTGTGAAATAAACTACTATTAATGAAAAATGAAATTAATTTTCTTTCTATCATTATTAATAGAAAAAGGTTAATAAAGATTAGTTTTTTTTTTAACTGTTGAACATATTAACTGAAAAATAAAAATATACTCGATCACATTTAAAGTTTTTTCAACAATAAACAAGAAATTCCTAATATATTTTAACCTAATAATTAAAACCACACATATTCCCTTAATCCGAGAAGAAGAAAAAAAAAACTCTTGAAGAAACTGTTTTTACCTGGGCCTTTCGCACCACCTCTCAAAAGTCTGCCAAGTCTGAATATTACTGCTCTCTCGTACTCTTGAACGACCTAAGTCATTTTAACAAATATGAAATAGCAATGTGAAATAAGGTCTTACTGCTATATTCACATAGAACTTACTATAAAAATATGTTCGAATACAGCTCCTAATCAGTGGTGGTTTTCACTGCTGAATCTTCAAACTTTACTAACTAAGATGAGATTTTTACAACATCCAATCACATTGTTTGTGAAACGGTGCACAGTGGGAACATAGGTGAAAATTAGTTTTCAATAAATCTGATAATACACTGTCTTTATCTTAAGATGAAAATAGAGTTCCTGGGAAGAAGGTGATATAAAGTACTTTACCTTTCTCCTTCATTTTTTGTATCAAGGTACGCTGTTACAAAACTATATTATATCCCTCTTCCTACTTCCAGTACTTATCTGTTCCTCCATTGAAACATTCCCAATAGTATATTCAGATACTGTTGTTTTTTATAATATACTTTACCTTTCTCCTTCATTTTTTGTATCAAGGTACGCTGTTACAAAACTATATTATATCCCTCTTCCTACTTCCAGTACTTATCTGTTCCTCCATTGAAACATTCCCAATAGTATATTCAGATACTGTTGTTTTTTATAATATGCTACAATCAACAGAAATGATACGGCTGTTAAGATATAAGCACAGATGCTAGGTCTCTCGTTCACCTTGGCTGAAAAAGAACAAGAACAAAATTAAAGCCTTAGAAACAGAGACAAGTGTAAACTTACAAAGAGTGAATATTTTTTTTTGTTACGTTAATATCAGTCTGTATATGTATTTATAACAATAAGCCAAAATATAACTTAAAAAATGAATTAGAAAGTGGACTTCGTTACATATTAATGAAACACAAAAAGAAAATTACGTATATAATCCTTACAAAATTCAATATATGAACTTTTCCTTATAACACGATAAATCTACAAACACACTAATAAAAAAATTCTATCTTAGATAGAACATATATGGATAAAAGCAACTTTATATTGACCATGTCTGCAATAAAAATATTATTATCTTAACTACGGAGATGGTAAACTAATTAATTATGGAAAAACATCATTAACTTGAACAAAACTTTCAACAAATCCGTTATAACAAATATAAGTAGGAAAGAAGGTCATTACGCGATAGTTATAAAAACGTTGGAAAGTTTACTTTCTGAAAGTATCTTTATTCCAAGGCACTATTATTCACATCTTTTGTATATTATAACGACTGTTATGAATTTAGAAACTATAAAACTGTAGAAGAACTCAACCATTCCCTTTTTTCTGGTTCAACATTAGATACTTCAAAAATAAGTAAACGTTCATCTCAAGAGAAAGTTATCTTCATGAGGAAGGGCGAGAGTAACTACAAAACCCTAACCATATATATTGACATCAACCATCTTATTTGGAGTGCTTGTTCATTTCTTTTTCTCACTTCAAATAAAACAGTCCTACTACATGATGCCCACATTTAAATCAAAGTTAAACTCTAAGCTTTCAAAAATCTTTACTTGTTATTATGGAGTTACTAAAGTCAATTGTTTTGGTTATTCAACAGTTAATGGGTGTTCATTTGAGTCAACGTAATAGAAATTTTTCCTGCTTAAATTGATAATGGTATTATTTTTAACACTAGAGTCAGTAACGAGGTTTATTTCGACCCTCAACTGCTTCTTAAACCCATTTATCTAAACTATTTATGAACCAAACTGGTCGCGTGTCCAGGATTTTGTTGGTTGCACGGTCACTAATCAAGTATAAGTCACACAAGAAAATATAAAATTAAGTATTATCAATATTGATATTCTGTTAATTACTGCTGGGGATTCTTAAACATTTTACATAGAAAATGAATGATTTTTTTCTAAAATTTAAGGCAGTTCTTTATATTGAACATTTTAACAGGCAAAAACCTAAACGTACTCTACATGATGCAATATGTGGACTTCACCGGTAGTGAAAGGTATAAAAAAAAGTCTATGGTTTGTAACTTAAAGAAAATTGGAAACAACAGAGATGATGTGCATTATTATTGCCAATAGAACACAAAGTAATATGTAATTGCACAAAACACAATGTACACGTACAATAATAAATGAAGTCTTCAAATAGTCAACAAAGCTCTTGGGTCTCATGAAATATCGTAATATAAAATAAACTATTTACTTCGACTAATTAGCTTAATAAAGAAATAACAGTATTGAAAATCCATATCGTTGTTGTAATATTTTATATCTACGCGTTGCTATTTTGTTTGCAAACAAATTTTAGAGATAAACTAAAATCGATAAAAAACAAAAAATACATAATTAAGACTTATATGAATCACACACACAACTCTGTAGTATAATATTAGTTTAATCATAGGATTCAAAATGGTTATTCAATACAGATAGTAGCATTTTACAAACTGTACGATGAGTAAACTTGATTGATACTTAAGTTAGAGCAAATACAGATCTACAGATGGAGAAAATCTTAAAAACGTTGGATAAACTATTCGGATAAGTATAAAGCCACATAATAGACCTTATTAAATAAAACGTTAAGATAATATTACAAAGCTGTGTTTGTTTACTTCTTTGCCGTTTTGTATAGGTATAAGGTTATAAATAATTCATGTGGTAATGTTACTCTTTCATGGGATAAGTATAAAGCCACATAAGAGGCCTTATTAAATAAAACGTTAAGATAAAATTACAAAGCTGTGTTTGTTTACTTCTTTGCCGTTTTGTAGAGGTAAAAGGTTATAAATAATTCATGTGGTAATGTTACTCTTTCATGGGATAAGTATAAAGCCACATAAGTGGCCTTATTAAATAAAACGTTAAGATAAAATTACAAAGCTGTGTTTGTTTACTTCTTTGCCGTTTTATGTAGGTATAAGGTTATAAATAATTCATGTGGTAAGGTTACTCTTTCATGGGATAAGTATAAAGCCACATAAGTGGCCTTATTAAATAAAAC